GCCTTTGTCTGTTTGCAATTGAGCAGGGAGTCGATCTTTGGCTTGTTGCATCAGCAAGGTTTGAAAACCTTCGGTCAAAGCAGAACTGCTCTTGGCCTTCAGGGGTTGCACCCATGCCATCTTTGAAAACACATCGATCACGCACAGCAGATATTTGAATCCTTCGTTGTCGTCTTGAAAGGCAATCATGTCACTCAAGTCTGCTTGCCACAGTTCATCGACCCTCCCACACGATAGTGGTCTCTCGGAAAGGAGCGTCTGGCTGGTTTGTGCAAGGTGTAGGTACTTTTGGTTTGCAACCAACGCTTGATTTGACTTTGCGATGGCATGGTTTCTTCTTGCTTTTACTGGTTCTTGCATCTTGAGCGTGGATGCGTGCTGCTTTCCACAAAGGTCGCCAGCCTCCAAAACTTGCAGGATGTTCAGGATGAAAGTAAGTTTTTTCCAAACAGGCCGTCCAAAGGGAAGTAGGAAGTAGTTGTTTCCCTGCAGCAGCAGCAGCAGAGGGAAGAATGGGCTGTCGCGTCTTGGTCTGTCGCTTCATTTCTCTCAGACTGATGCCACTTCCGACATGAATGGCCTTTTTATAGAGAAGGGGAGAGATTTATTTTTTCTTAGGTGGTGCTAAAGGGTATCCATGAACCTCGCCTGTTGATGACTCTGTCCTGTTTGGTATCAGATGGAGGTGGAGTCATCAACCATGGGGTTGACATCACATCTTTTTCTTCCTCCACTGGTGGATCCAGTTGCCACGAAGGAGGTGGGGGTGGCATCTCATCTTCTTCTTCTTCTTCGTCTTCTTCTTCCGCTTGTGGATCCAGCTGCCGCCTCCTCCTTCTTCTTCTCTCTTTGTGACTTTGTGGGGAGAACGTGGGGAGGGAGAACTGGGTTATGGGGGTTTCTGGTGTGGCATGAGGATGGTGTTGCTACTGCTGCTGCTTCTGCATCCATTGCCATCGTTGAGGATTTCCAATTATTTCATGAGGGACATGACTGTTGGCCAAATGGTGACTCAAAATGGTCCAACCTGCAGGTCCCTCTTTGGTTTTCCGATGACGCACTAAATCGTTGATCAAGTCCACCATGTGTGTGCCAGGGACAGGTTTCCCTTCCACGGTCAGGGTTCCCTCTGGAGTCCAACTCAAGTCGGGATTGTTTTGAATCCTTGTCATCAAATTCATGGCTTTACTGGACATGGCTTTAGGAACACTCATGACCACTTCGTCTATCACTTGTTGAGGAGGGGCAGGTCTACCTGTGGTGTCCATTGTTGATGGTGATGACGGTGGTAGTGGTGGTGTCACTTTGGGTTGCAGTGGTTTGATGGTGTTGTTGTGCTGTTGGCGCTGCAACTCTAGCATGTGTTGCAACATGGTTGTATTCTTGTTCCCGCATGTGAAAAGGCTGCTGTGACCTCTGCATCAACGCGTCCATCTCTTCCAAAGTTTGGAGACGTTTCTTTTCCAAGAGAGGGGTATGAAGTGTCTGACGATGACGTTGTTTGGTGGCCTGTAGACTTTGCCATGTGTCTTCAGACACCAACACCATCTTGCGTGCGTACTTCATGGTGGCACACCACACACTGATCCCAACCTTCCCGGTGTCAGACCATTTATTACTTTCCTCCAAACAAAGAGGCTAGGGCAGAACCAATAAGAGGGATGAGTCCTCCTAATAATCCTCCTCCATGTTGAAGAAGTTTACGTTTCTTGCTTAGAGGTACTTGTTTTTTCATCAGCTTATTCAAGACTTTACCGTGTCGTTGCAAGTTTTGACGTTGCGTCGTGGTCATGGGAATATTGCCTGCATACAAGTTCACCACACATTCACAAAGGGCACGGATGAGATCAGTAGGAGCATGTTTGAGAATGGCTTTGCGCATCGCTGGAGCGGCAGCACACAAATGACACAGAGCATGTTTCTGTTTCCTGAGGCACTGAGACATCTTTCTTTCATGGAGGTATTAGCCTGAATGAGTCACCTGATCTGCAGCTTCTCTCTTTTATCAGGCAGTGGCAGGAGGTAGTTGCAACTGTTGATCTGCCTTCTTGGACTTTCTTTGGGTCCGCATGTGCACCAATCGTCTGAGAGCATCAGCTTGATATGCTTTCATGACATTTTCATGAGCCTTATCTTTTGGCTTAGTAGTCATCGTTGTTGTTGTTGTAGGTCGGTGACGCCTGGTGTTACCCTGTTTGAGGAGTGGTGCTTGAAGATAATGTTGCCATTGCAACAGAATGCGTGTCAAGACCCCTGCAAGTGTTCCACTACCACTGCGTTGCATCAGGTAGTCAAGACGTTCATCCATAGGCAGACGTGGATTGACAATTTTAGTCAGGGTATCATGATGTCTCTGCAACCACGTCTTATGTTGAGCTTTCAATGGGATGTGTCCTGCTCTCAGGTTCCGCACGACAATCGCAAACCACTGCAAACGACAATTTCTTCCTTTGACGGCAAGGGTTGTCGCATCCCTTGTCGGAAAAATAGACGGTCTCTTGTCTTTTTTCTTCCTTTGTGGGGGCTCCTGCTGCTGCAGACATTGAAAGCGTTGAAGATCGAGTGGGGGTGAGGGTGCTGATGAGGAAGGCCGTTGTTGTTCTTGACGATGCTTGTTCAAGGGTACCATCGAAGAGTAAGACGGACCTGCCTTGGACTTCTGCTCCTGCTGCTGTTGCTGTTGCAGAGGTTGAAAGCGTTGAAGATCATGTGGTGACGAGGGTAGCGAAGGTGCTGATGATGTTGAAGGACGTGGTGATGGCTGCTGCTGACGATGTATGTTCACGGGTACCATTGAAGAGGGACACGATCCTGGAGATGAAGGAGTCTTGTGAAATACAGAGGTCACAAGTCCCTGTAGCGATGAGGGGGAGACCATACTGTCATAGACATCATTCACCATCTCTTTGTCTTTGTTCTTTCCCTTCGTAGGATGAACATGTTTCCGTCTTTGCCCCATGATGGATGTAGGTCAACTGAAGGAAGGTCTGAGGGTTCACCTCCTTTTATGAAAGTCTCTTCATCTCATAGGATCGGCAGATACATGAGGGGTAATTCGGATCTCGAAAACAGGCGGGCGCGTACGCGATGGTCTTGCAACGTTGTGGGCTTCAAGTCCAAGAACAAGTAAGTGTAAGGCTCTCGGGTAGCGTCTTCATAGGCTTCACGCAGAAAAGGAACTTTGCCTGGAAACACCTGGCGAGCCAGACTGTCGATCTGCGATGCATCTCTCGGATTTTTAAAGAGGACCATGTAGTGAGCATTCAGGCTGATGGTGCTATGTTGCGGCGATTGAGCAAACAAGTTCTGAGTGAGATACAGCACAGATGTGTTTCGGTGATGACTTTTCTTGGTGAACCATCGCAGCACTTCGGTTTCTTCTTCTTTCGTATTGTCCCCCAGCAAATCATCGATGACCAGCCAATGTGGGGCCACCCCTTTTTCGGGCAAGGCACGATCCGCTTCTTTCATGCTGTGGACAAACTCAAGAGCGACCCCTAAGCGGCCTGCCATCTCTTCCAGTTCATGATGAAGCGGTTGCCATTCGCTGTACACCCACACGATGCGATGGGGTGACGTATCCAACACCTCGCGGCGATGCATCTGCTCCATACATGATTTCACAAAGGAACTTTTTCCTGATCCCGTGGGTCCCGCAATGAACATCGTAAAAGGATGGCGTAGGGTCAAAGGGCTTGTCATGGCCTCTTCATCATCATGTGATGCCATCCTGTGTTCTGGCTGACTGACACCAGGTAACTGATCTTTTCAAGCATGACCTTTCTCTTTTATCTGTTATTTTTTTCTTCCTATCTCTCCCATGACCCATACAATTTCTTATGAAAAAAAGAAACACAACGGTCGGTCCGATTTAGAAAACCGGGGCTCAGACCAAGTGTCGGAACGAACCCATCAGCACGATGCGTTTTCGACCAATCAGGAAGCAGGGTGTCAGTGCCTCTCCTATAAAAAGAGCGAAGCCACGCACACCGTCACAGTCGAGCACTGAAAGAGAGATCAACCATGTCGTCTCGATGCAGCTGTCTGACGTGCCAGACCAACAGTCAACAATGCCAGCGGAGGATGAAAGTCTATTCATGGACAATAGTGGGCTACCCACGGGGTGAATCGGAGACGATCCTATCACAGAGCCCACACTGGTTTAAGAACAAGTCTGAGGCTATGTCAGCATTACAACAAACTATTCAACGCGGAATTGACATACCCGACTGTTGGGGTGGTCCGTATTATTATCTAGTATCGAGAACAAGGAAAGTAATGTAATCAGGATGACAACCCTTGTCCAGCTTGTTTCCAGTTTGTTTTCCAACAGCCCTTTTCAGGGCCACCCATCTCTCCCGAAAGACAGCTTTCCTCCTTTGCTTTGACGACCCTCCAATCCCCACACCGTGAACCCACCCCCGCCTCCTCCCACCTTCCTCCCTTCACCACCACCCTCCCTTCACCACCACCACCACCACCCCCGCCCCCACGTCTATGTGTAGAACAACAACAACAACAACAACAACAACAACAAAAGATTTTTGACGCGCTTCTTTCAATGTCGATCCTGTTCACCTTTTACGTGCGCTTCTCCGGGTTTTTCCCCATCCCTCCTCTCCGGAAACGGAGGCGACGCCCTCTTGAAGGCGTACGCCACCGGACACGGATGCGACGCCATCTTGGAGGCGTACGCCACCGGACACGGATGCGCCGTCATCTTGGATGTGCACGCCACCGGACACGGATGCGACGCCATCTTGAAGGCGCACGCCACCGGACACGGATGCGACGCCATCTTGGATGCGCACGCCACAGGAAAAGGATGGGCCGCCATCTTGGATGCGCACGCAAGTCCCATCATGCTACGCGCGCATGCGCAGGTCACGTGACCGGATGTGACGTCACAGAGGTCACGTGATCCTCTCGACCAATCAGAAGCCAGGAGCGGTCCCAAAGTACTGCACACAACTACTGATAATAATTGAAACTATCTTCAGCTCCGCCTCTGCTTAGCGTCGACGTGGCCGGCAAGATAGAGAAGCAACTAGGACTGGATGAAGGATCAGTTAATAAGATCATAACATCTCTGCTAAAGGTACATTTACTTCAGGGCTGTAATATAGAACTGTGTTCAGGTAATTCTGGTGCTTTCATCCACTTGGAGGCACTTCGTTACACAGATGATACACCATGACTATTTCAGTGGAATGTCTCCCATAGCTTGGAGTCATGCCAAGTGTAAATGTACTCAAAGCCTTTTTTTACTTTGGTTTGAAGGACACAAATGAAATAAAAACAAAATCAGTGATACAGCAGATCAACTGATCTGAACTGATGAGAAGTAGCTGTTTCTCATTGAATGTTTTGTAGCTAAGCGATGATGACCATGTGGGAGGAAGGCTACAGTGTGGACTGTTTGATTGGTCCTTTCAGGTGAAGCCAGAAGTGAGCAAATGGAATATCCCTGGCAGAGTGAAGAACTGGTGGAATGAGAGACGCTGAAGAAAGTCTTGGGGGAGTTGTTGTGAAGAAGTTTCATATGACGCCTCCACGTGCGCAGCTTGTAGGCAAAAGGTTTAGGCAGTGGAACTAAATGAACATGAGTGTGCGAACTGGTTGAAGCGATATACATAAAGAACGTAGTTGTCTTATCCAGCAACTTTCAAGGACATTTGCAGCAGGTTAGGCGAATGTTATGCACCCATCCATAATCTCAAATACCTAGTGAAATAGTCATCAAAGTTCCACTATTTTCAGGCAGCAGACTCTACATATGAGGTTTTATATATCACACAAGACTGGATATACTTTAGGCTCGGTCAGGCAAAAGCAAGCGAAGCTATATATCATGTGAGACTGTAAATAAGGTTGAATGTTGAAATGTGAGTTTGTAATATTGACCTAATGCTAATATTTACTTTGTACGTATAAGCTTTGTTAAAGAGGAAGGCCGATTATCGTTCAGAGTTTAGAGAACAATGTAGTGTTATTGTTTTGTTTTGTTTTATTTTTGTATGTACGTAAGCATAACTCATCTGTGCTTTACATTCTGTTATAAGGCTTAATATATGTTGAGGATAACATGTGATGCTTGCAAACACATAGAGTGAATAAGCACCTTTACACTATATTCTAATCATTCATTTCAACTTAAACTCGCCTTAAACAGGTGAAACTCAAGAGGATGTAGAAATGACAACCAATGGATATTGATCCACTACCCACGAATCCAGGAACAACGGATCCCAGCACAACTACAATTTAATTTTATTTCACACAAATGAATTAAATTCAATGTGTGTACAAATAAGAAAAAACATTGTTATACACTCTATACTGTCTAAGATTTGAGTAAAGCGTGAATCCTATATTCTCGAACAAGAAAATGTTGCCAGACATCTAGATTCCTGCATATTGTACCACAAGGTTGCCATTGAAGAAAAACTGTAAATATATTGCAATAGTTGTTGTTATCGTTGCCCATGTCATCTAGCAGGAAGTGAAGTGTCGGAAAGTAAATACTTGACAGCTCATGTTGATGATAGAATACTGTAGTACGGCACCATTGTAAGAAACTGATACTGTAGCCAATTGTTGAGCTTAGGCCTTCATACACTGAATAATTTCATCCGTATTGAAGAGTGCTTTTGTGACAACTTTTTATCTCATCAACCAGAAAATACAGATAAATATAAATACTTAAGAATCATAGAACATAGAAATGAACGTCTAAAAGCTCCTCTTTTGTATATGTTATCTCATGTATAAATTCATAGTGGAAGTCTATTAGTTTAATATCTCTTGTATATTTTCTACATTGATTAAATATATCCTTTAAAACCAAAGGCTCTGTAAGTTGTATTTGCCTTTTAAAGCATACATAGAGTACTTTACTAGTTTTAATTAAGGTATCATAAAATTGTCTGCCTCCTTTACTATGAATTGATGTAAATGACAGTGCAAGAAATGTTCATCAACAATTTGTTATGATCTAAAAACGTATGCTTAATATCACAGTTGTCCTGGAAACCTGGAAACTCATCCATATTTTTTCCTTATCTATGTTTTTAACTGGATGTACCTTCATATTCACTCAACTTTTTATCACTAAGTCGGAATCTATAAAGTGAATATTAAGCCCCAGGGGTTCCCTAATTATTTCAACAACAAGACTGTACGTAGAGCTTTGCCCAAGTATTTAAAAAGTCTCTCTCAAATAGATAATCAATATGATAATGTGTATTGATACAAGCTCCTTCATTTAAACAAATGTGGAAATGGAAAATATGATATGTTGGCTGCAGCTTTTTGATAGCTCGTTTCACAAATGACAATTTTAAAGAATCAGTAAAAGCACTGAGATCAATCATCATAAGATAACTTATTCATTATAAAATTGATCCTCTTTATGTTATCAGGTTTGTCATTCCAGATGAAGTTACAGAAATATTATTTAATGTTTTTATTTAACTTTCAGGCGGATTCGGCAATGTTCTAAAATATGTATTGTTGTTGTCAATGCAAGTTTCTTGAGAATCGTAATTTTACCAAATAATTCCAAGTTTCTTCTCCTCTCGCTCGCCTTTATTAACATGTTTTAGTCTTTTTCTGGTGTTAATGATCCAAAGGTCCTCTATTTGTGGTTTTAAGTTTAAATCTCTAGTAAGTCAAAATTGCCTATATGCCAATCTGATTGTGTATTTTGACATAGCCTAACATTACTATTTGTAATTGTGCCAATCAAATTGCTTAATCTTATCTACATTAATCATGAGGCTGATATTTCTTTCAATATGTCAAGAGTATCTTAAGCAGCTTTGAGGCTTTATTCTGTTCAATCTAAAAGTAATTCTGTATTATCAGCATATTGTCCAAGTTTATTTTCAGTATTGTTGAGATTTATCCCCCTTATAAGTCTTTATTTATAACCATATTTCCTAAAATGACAGCCACAAAAGGGAAGAGATACGGAGCGAGAGGGTCACCCTGCCTGCTCACTCTTTCATTTTGAAAGATGTGGATCATGGGTTTGAGTTACTTCTCAACATATTGATCCGTTTTCTAAGGACTGGGTCGAGACCATACTTTTCAAGGACTAACATCATCAAAGCTTTCGATACAGTATGAAACGTTGTTTTTTTCAAAATCAATCAAAATGAGCAGTTCATGCTTTATTTTGTTTCCCGGTTTTGTTTCACAGATCACATAGTTTTGAAAGATGGAATGCTTGAAAGACCAACACCGCTTCCAACTTCTTACTTTTGTACACCGTTTTGCCAAGATGAAAAGCTTGACAGCTCGACATTGCATCTCACTTCCCACCTTCGTAAATGTGTTCAATAGAAATCTTAGAAGCTCAAATGTTCTGCCAATTTTGAATTTGATATTAATATATTTTGAAAACCTAAGGTTAAGGAGGTGGTTGTGCTGCTTGTTTACTCTCATCCTTTTTAAACGAGACCAACAAGGGTTTACGACAATGCCAAACTGATTTTGCTGTTGGGTTACGTCATTATATTAGTGGGGAGCATCTTTGGAATGGGCTGCTTACTTGTATTAGTGGGGAGCTTAACATGATCGATTAGGTCCTTGTATCACCCTGTTTAGGGTGTGTTGTGTTGTTGAAAATAACTTTCTTAATCAGCTTCAAACAGAGATAGATCAGGATACATGTTGTGCCTGCTTCGTTTTGGATCAGATATTAGAACCTCTGGCATTGTACTAGCTAATACTTTCTCCTTTTATCCAGGGGGCACGGGTGGCTCAGTCGTCTAAGGCGCCGCGATTCGCTGTGCAGAGTTGCGTTCCTTGGGCACGCCAGAAACCTATGATTGTGGGTTCAAATCCCGGTTCGCCCCGATTATGTTTCTAGGTTTGTCAGCACCATACCCGTGCTCGTGGGTTTAGCCGAAGTGGTAAACGTCTGAGACCTGCATCACTTTGGGCTTTCCTCCCACATTAAGCTGACACGCCGCGATATAACTGGAAAACTGTTAAAAGCGGTGTTAAACCAAACTCACTCACTCACTCACTCCTTTTATCCACAACCACATATTTAACTCGCAGGGCATGGATCAATTTTAGTGTATATCAAAATGAGCTTATGATGAAATTGGTTAATTATCATGTAAAATATGTCTATGGATGCATGTTTCGGCTTTTTTTTGTTATTTTATGAGGAACTCTCCAGTATTCGTGTTTTTCTTGTTTCCAAAATATCGCTGATAATGTCGTGTTGTGATATTTGTGATGCACTGTTGTTTGTATTGATGACACGAACCTGTAAACGTATTGAGCATAAGTGCCGGTCCTTAGTTCCACTACAAGTTAGTTGTCTATAGATGTCTGTAATGTATGATGCATCACCTCGCAAACAGTTATGAAGTCAGTTTGTTTTGCCAGCATGGTCGAGGTCATAAAGTATCGCTGTCACTGAAACCGTTTCCAGACAAAACTGAAGTGAAGTATGTGTTCTCACTATGGTTGAATACTCTCTCCAATGTAGCGTTCTGAATTAATTATATTAAAAAAAAAATGTTTGATGCCATCCTTCCTACAATTGTGTTCTGAGTGAGTGATTCCAGTATTCCAGTTATATCACGGCCTGTCAGCTTAATGTGTGGAGGAAAGCCCTAAGTGATGCAGGTCTCAGACGTTTACCACCTCAGTGAAACCCTCGATCAAGGGTATGGTGCTGACAAATCTAGAAACATAATCGGGGCAAACCGGGATTCGAACCAACAATCAGGCGTGCCCAAGAGACGCAACTCTGCACAGTGAATCGCTGCACTTTAGACGACTGGGCCACCCGCGCCCTCAATTGTGTTCTGAAGTAAACAAACAATATATTCAATACACAAATACATCTCCAAATCAGCTTCCTGAATTAAGTATGGACTATACTGGATACAAACCCTGCCCTCTTGAGTGTTCTGTACTATGTACTATATTCAACATATACTCTCCCCGTTCTGTGTGTAATGTATGATGCATCATCTCACAAACAGTTGTGAAGTCAGTTTGTTTTGCCAACATGGTCGGGGTCATAAAATATCGCTGTCACTGAAACGGTGATCTTGCGAATTGAAATACTTCTGTTTTCAGACGGAACTTTTGTGTTGTGAAGTAAACAAACAATATATTCAATACACAAATACATCTCTCAATCAGCTTCCTGAATTAAGTAGGGACTATATTGGATACAAGCCCTGCCCTCTTGAGTGTTCTGTACTATGTACTATATTCAACAGGTTCTAGGCAATGATTATGAAACGTTTCCACACAAATCTAAATGGCCTTCTAAATGCTTTACATTTGATTGTAATGTGTATGCTACAATTTAACGGTGTAATAGAAAATGAGAGATGCATTTTGGTATTTGCAATGCCGATGTAAAGTATGTGTTTTTGTGAAAATCGATGACAACAAATTAAGAATTGTTAAACCTCCAGCTTACAAGATGTTATGAAGCCTTCATCCTTTTCTTTGTATGACATACGGATAATAAGAAAAGAACAGGTTCTCCAGAATTGTATTCTTACTTATATGGAATTGTAAACGAAAAGCAAAAATCATAATTGTGTATTAAAAAATATCTTGGATGAGAATTGAGAGGTTAATCCACATACTAATTGTGGGCTACAAGATTCTCCTGAACGAGTACTGACAGTTTCAGATTTAAGTACAGCGGGCGTCAGAGTAAGCTTTTAGATCATGAACAGCTGAAGGGAAATAACTCTTGGCAACCTCTCGGGTGGGAGTTCAACAAGCATCAGTGCAGTACAGGCAACATGAAACCTGTCAGTGTGTCTAATATGTAGGGATAACAAATACAACTTGTTAACTGGCCTCCGCTCGCCGAGATCTCTTACAAACTAAAACCCTTAATCATATGTATCAATTGTATCATCCCTTTTGTCAAAGCGAGTGAGTTATGATTTTAAGCCGCTTTTAGCAGTAATACAGCAATATCAAATGGGTTTCACAAATTGTTCCCATGTGGGGAATCGAACCCGGGTCTTCGGCGTGATGAGCCAACGCTTTAACCACTAGGCTTCCCCACCGCTGGATAATTTGTGTCACTCTTTATGCATGGATCTATAAATCAATATGATAAGGCGCTCTCGCTGGTCTCTTATATTTCTATTTGGATAAATCAGTGGAAAAGAATGGGCTATTTGACTATTATTGAACAATATCAGATCATCAATATACCTTGTTATGAGGCACTGTGATTTATTGTTAAACTGTATTACTTTGTTGGGAATCCAAAGAAGCCTGAAACATTATGTTTTGATGCTTCTTAGTTGTGAGAAATGTTGTATACCCATAAAGATCCGGATTAGAATAGGTCTTCAGGGACCCATGCTTGCCGTAAAAGGCATCTATGCTTGTCGTAAAGAGGCAAGTATCGGGATCGGGTGGTCAGGTTCACTGACTTGGTTGATGCATGCCATGTTCTTTGGTTAAGTAAATATTGCAGTGATGCTTACAAAAGATGGTTATGCTATCTGAGGTGTTTGGTTCAATTGAAATATGATATACCTGCAACTCTACAATAAAATGTTTATACACATATTAATACAACTATTTAAATACTTTAGGTCAGTATACAAAAAAAGTATCTGCTACATTCCTGTTCACTGGGAATATTGCAATAAGCAACGAACAAACAAAAATAACATTTGTGA